TGCTCGCCAGGAGCGTTTCTATACTCACATCGTCGGAGTGGAGGTATACAGAGGTGGGGGGAGGCTTCAGCTACCTGGCAGCGCGCGTGTCACCAGGCGAGAGGCCACCCGGCGGACGGCGATACATCCCTACATTGTTGAGCAAGGCACGCCAGAGACGGAGATGTCGACGATGGCATGATGAGCCTTCTTCCATATCGGGCTGCTCACGCGAAGGCTTCCTGTATCCACATCGTCGAGCGGCTCGCGACCGAGGCAGGCCAAGGGCCAGACAACATGGAAGTGCGTCGGGACACTGAGGTAGGGCTGCGCAAGCTGCTTGCAGGGAGCATTTCTGTATATACACGGTGCGGCAGGAGGGAGTCGGTCCACAAGGCGCTAGGTGGTCCGGATGAGTCTGCCTATGCTGTGGAAAAGGCCCATGCATCGCCGACACCTCGCACGCGCTTGTCGGTATCCACCTCAGCAAAAGGGCAATCTGGTATCGGCCCACATCCATACGGCGGGGGGTGGGAGAGTATTGTGGTGAGCATGGTAGGCATCACGAGTGGTGTGTAGTGTTGACTGACGGATACAAGTCAGTACGAGGCCTGCTCACGAGGCGTCCAAAACATACCTAGCAAGTCGGATGTCTATGATCACGGCTCAGTCTTGGAAGTACCGTCCCGTGCATTATCCACGGTGTCTTGTCCTCGAGATTCTGTAGCGTCTGCCCAGTGACCTTCTGTCCGCAGGCTAGTATCAGCCTCGCGAAGGTGTCTGCGCACTTGCGATGGCTGCATGTTGACCGGGATTGGGAGTGTGGCACACAGAACACAGACGTGGGGGATAGGACGGCACAAGACTATGGTGAGATGAGCTGATGTCCTGTGTCCGTGAGGAGGCAACGACAGACCATATCATCCGGCAGTGCGGCATTGCCGTAATCATCCTCCTCCGCGCACTCCATTGGAGGGCCGGCCCTCTTCTCCATCCAACCAGGTTAAACGGTGTTGACCCAAGTGAGAGTGAGGAAGACGTAGACAGTGCACAGGATGGGGAGGACCTGGGACAGTCGCAACATCGGAGCCTTCCCACAAGCGCTGGGATAGCACTGCGTGACTATGGGAGTGCTGATGAGGTAGAGGGGAAGTCGGCAGTAGATTTACTAACCATGACGCGTTAGTTTGAGTATATCGGTGCAAAAGACACAACAACATACACGTCTCATTTAATGCTCCATCCCAGTCTGTTGCTCATACTCCTTCTGCTCTCCAATAACTCCCGCCCTTCGCCTTAAATTCGTAGTTGCAGCTGGTGGTGCACGGGGCAGACAGTGAGAAACACATGTAAGTCGCCATTGACCCTGAGGGGAGAGACGGTAGGCGGGCGCAGGGCACCAAGGACGGACACGGAAGCGGAGGATCATAGAGGATGATCATAGAACTGGGACAGAGTCTGACTGCACTACAGTCAACGATCAAGTACTCGTTGACAAAGCGCACGACACGGACGCACCTCGACCTGCGTTGGTGTGTGGCAGTGTCAACTGCCTAGATCGGACAATGTGGCGGATCTGTCTACGCGCTCAGCATTCTCCATCGTTCATCGCAGCAGCTCAAAGAAATACCTCGGAGCCATAGATTCAGACCGTATAACTATGCTGCAGCCGAGGGACGAGCAACAATGGACAGATGGGTGTCTGAACGAGCAAGTGAGGGCAGCGGCAGACAGGCGATGGCGGCAGAGCGGAATGTATGGTCAACCAGTCGAGCATAATGAGGGCATAGTGACGGGCTAGGGAGGTCGACTAACATGAGAACCAGCCTTTATACTTGACAAACCTTCACTTGATCCCCGTGTTGACAGCCACCTTCCAAGTGACTGAAGCCAGAATCCGGCCCGAGGACAGGAAGGCTTGTTAACAATGTTGGTCCGATGGGCCCGGATCGCGGAGATTATGCGTGGTTCAATTTGATCCAGGCATAATCTCCGTACCCCGAGATGCTCGGACCCACTGCGAAGCTGTCAGAGTGAAACATACTGGCACAGCCCTTTCAATCCTATGTGGTGTAAGAAGGCTCACTTCAGAGCTTGGAATTGCGTGCAAACTCTCAAATCTCAGTAATGTGATTCACTATACTCTCAGAATACCAAGTAGACACAGTCGCAACCAGGCTCCCATGAGATTTGAAGTCTCACCCGAGTACTTAGAGCATAAGCTTCCCAGCTTTCGAAGTCCTGTCAAGCTTGGCAGCTCCTTGACAGGATGCAGGGTGTCACTCTGTCTTTGAGATGCGAAGACTTGGAAGTGTACACTCTGAAACACTCTCTCAGCTCAATATAGAAATTGACTTACCAGGAATTATCTGGCATGCTATGGAAGCGGCCACTTCGAACGCATACCAGACAGTTCCCTGGAAAGCTGATGGCTACGGAACGGACTCAGGGGCAGTCGAAGTGAGACCTTGTTCAAGCTCGCGCAGGGTACATAGCTGCTGTACAGCTCCGGTCATCAGGAACACAATGAGTCAATTGAACAGTCGCAATGAGATTGTTGATCGCGAACTCTGCCGACGCTGCCCCTTCGGACTATTCTCGGGACTGTAGTGAACTTGAATACTGCATTGTGACGCAAACTGGACCAACAGGATGCCACAATGGACTGGCGACGGTCTATTATTCAAATGTGGTGAGCTCGCGGTTGGACAACAAGTGCTAGGACCGGACCCGTGCAAGTGATACCTTCCCAGTGAAGTTAAACCACGGTGGGTTGAGCACCCTTCAGCACGATTGTCCGGGACAGTGCCAGACAGCTAGCTTACCGTCTTGACCGCTCGGAGCTCCGATCCCGGTGCTGGAACTTGCACCGAGATGATGGAGGTGCATACTTGCGGTTGTCGAGATCTGGTAGGATCCATTGATCACACACGTTCAGTGCCGTTACTACCGAGCCATAGCGTGCGTGCAGTCAGCCCTAGAATCGACAAGTCGTTGCTATGCCAGTGGTCCATCATTGCGACTTACCGAGTCATTCGCGTGTCAACAAAGACAAGTCATCGATCAGCTCGCGCTGCAGCTCTATGGCTTGCAGGTGACGTACCTCGACCTATCTCTAATCGCATGACTGATCGAGATCAGATGCGAGGAGCAACGCAGTGTCATCGGGCATACGTGTGAGTGCTACGTGTTTTCAGGCTTGGGCATGGCCGTAGAACAGATCTACAGCGCAATCTTACTATATTT